GTTAAGTTAAGTTAGTAGTAGTGTGTGTGAGTGAGTGTGTGTGTGTGTGTGTGTGTGTGTGTGTGTGTGTGTGTGTGTGTGTGTGTGTGTGTGTGTGTGTGTGTGTGTGTGTGTGTGTGTGTGTGTGCACATGATGGTGTTTGCCAAAGGTCTCTACCTTATACTGTACTCACATAGTGGACATCATTTTGCCTGCACTCTGCAATGTTTGACTGCTGTTTAGAGAAAGACAACATTAATGAAATATAGTCTCTTAATGACTTCCTGTTGTTCTTGCTAAGAGCTTTAACAACATTTACCTTCCAATAAAAAGATGGCGGTCACAGCAGAGAGGAAACACATCTTGAAAATGTTCAAGTGTCCAATCAGCTCATTGGGGGAGGCATCTGGAGAGAAAGAAAAGGACCAACACTGATTAGCACCGACTTATCATGTTTTCGAGCACAACAGAATTAAATCAGGAAGGTTGAACTTGCTTTGCTTGATGGACACTCGCCTCCTCGCTGGGAGGAGAGGTGTTTAAACATCGATTAGGAAAATCATTAATTTGTTCAAGTATGCAGTATTGCAGCAATCTGTTGCCTTGGAGTGATCGATGTCTGACCCACATTAACAGTCATGTAGGGCAAACGCAGTACAAGCGACTTGTGGTATATGTGAGGCCTGTCGTGCCTGAAACCTGTGTACAGACTGCGTTATTTGAAAGGAAGTTGCATTTCGACTAGCAAAGTTGGGCTGGGTTTCTCAGAAGTAAAAGCCCTGCTTAATTTCTACAAGTTCATTTTATTTGCAGATGGAGTATTTCCCAGAATTAGCCCGAAAATCTATGTATAAGTGCAAGAGTTGAGCAACTGTAAAACATTCTTTGGTCAAAGGTACAAACTTGTGTACATGAAGACATTTAAGGCTGCTATTATCATTATTTTTAAATGAACCATTGATAAACCCATTGAGAACTATCAAAAATATTTTCAGTTTCTTTCAGCACTATTATTTCCATTTACAGAACAGAATTTGTTTTGCGGCTACAATCTGATAAACTACACATTATTGTATTTTCTGATGCTTTGTTTTCCCCTTTGTCTGTTTGTTTGCTGGATTTCTATTGCTTTTTGTGTGAAAAAAGTGTACAATGTTACCTCTGAAATAAAAAGGCAATAGAAAGTAAACTGATAACTGCCTAGCCCCAAACAGCAGCAAGGCAAAATGTGCAACTACAGTGAACATGGTTTAGCAAAGAAAAAAAGAAAGGGTCAAATACTCAAATACTTTCCTCAGGAGATGGTGAAGACCAAAACCAGAGCTAAAAGTAGAGGGGGTATTAAAGTAACATTTATCAGGTGGCCACAAACAATACTTCACATGTATTCTAATGGTTACAATTCTGCGTATATTCTCTACTATTACTATTAAATAACTGTTGTTATCAACTTTTTGATCGTGTACAATTTCAGTTTTGTAATTTTTTGTAAACTATTTGTAATTTCCTTTTAGAGAAATATTGCTGCAGGCTAAGGGCTAAAGGTTATACTTTGTATACCTAATAATGATGCCTTCAGCAGTTTTATCAGTCCACTTTCAGATTCTGATTCAATTCAGTAACATATGCGTTTCTTTCTCCAAAAAAAAGAAATGACAAGTGCTCTACATTTTGTACAGCAGTGATTTGTAATATTTAGAGAAATCTGTCGAAATGAACTCACAGAAAAAAAATATGATATCTCTAAAGCGAAATAAAATATTTAAAACTATTGGGGATAATATAGTCCTGTATTATATAGGCTATGCAAACTACATTCTCCTGTATAGCATGTTTGGAAATGAAACAGTTCTTTTATTTACCCCAAGTGAAAGAGGTGGTCAAAGCCGCGGTCCTTGCAGGGTGGTCCTGCACGCTACATGTGAAGGTGATCCCTGTTTCCAAGGACTCCTTCTGTGGGAGGAGGAACACGCTGAAGAGATACGCTTCCCGGCTGTGGTTGTCCGTCACCTGGAAACACTTTGGGTTCCCCAAGCGGTCTGAAGACAGCACGGCTCCATCAGTCAGGTGTTCAGACAGCTCAGCATGAGGGTGGGGCGCAGGGAGAGTGCAGTTGGTGAGTGGTAGGTGATCGATAATGGCTCCTGCACTCTGGTAGGTCCAGGTGAGGGTGAGCTCGCTTGGGTGGAAGCCCCCAGTGAGACAGAAGAGAGCCCACTGACCAGTCTGAGGGTCCGGGGGAATCTGGAGGTAAATCTGGGGCGCAGACGGTGGTGCTAGCAAGAAAAATAAAAGAACAGGTAAGAAACCAAGTAAACACATCAGATGAGATAATTCAGAATGTAAATTTAGGTCAATGAAGCAGGCATTAGAGTAAAATAGGACAGAATTATGGAAAGAGAAAATGAAGTAGTAATGTATTAGTTATCATGCAGCCATTTATTTTAAAACAAGGACAAATGAAGCAGAAATAGCTTTATTTAACATACATAAATGATGTTTGCATGGTGAACAATGTGCACATTAATAAAGTCTTCTGAGACTTTATTAATAAAAACGTTTTAAACAGAACACAAATGAAAAATGAACTATATGATAAATATCTCCACTTCTATTTGCACTCTTACTATTTGCGCTGTACATCATTTTTGGCAAATATAACCATTAAAAAAAACTGGAACAAAAACGAATGAACAGGGCTAAAATGGGTAAACAAATGGAATATCAATTGTAATTTGATGAAGGCAACATTGCATCCAGAGAAAAACAAAGGGAAGCTTTTTTCTGCATGAAAGATTTCCACATAATAATTTGGCCATCCCTCCCTGCCTTGTTTTCTGGTGGGTTTCAATTCCCTGGGCTAGATCGATACAAGGCACTGCACATGGTGCCGGGGTGATTATTTCTAGATCTGTCATGAAACCGCTGAGGCAAAAAGATGAACTCTGAGGGAATTTCCCATGACTTGAATTTTTATAGATTGAGCCCGGCCATTTCTGTTACGGTGAAGCATGGTCTAAACCACATGTGTCAAACTCAAGGCCAGGGGGCCAAATCCGTCCCTTGGTGGATTTAATTTCGGCCCGCAGGATAATTTCTAATTACTATTAGATCTGGCCCGTCGGTATATTGCAAGCATCCAAGATGAGATGCCAAGTATCTGGCTTAGTGTGCATCGCAGAGCTGCGAACTGAGTTTCAATGGATGTTTCCTTCTGCACTTTTTTTCTTGTGACAACAGGGCATGTTTGGTTTTTTCTTTGAGAGAAATTGTTTTTTTTAAGCTGTTGTTGGCCTGTAGAAAAATGTAACCATAACAAATGACTCCGGAAAAGCTGCGGATAGAGCCATAACAAATTAATCCAAC